TACTCAACCTTGGGTTCCCTATCACCAGCTTCCTTGTCCCCTTCTGGCCCTTGTCACTGGACTCCTGTACCTCGTTAGTCTCATTTGGTTTTACGCAAACCCTGATTTTTAATTCTCACGTCCTCGAGTGCCAGGCTGAGGAGGGGTTGTGTGACTTGAAAATTTTCGGAGCATAGAGAGCCTCTAATGCAGCTGGCATCAGGGAATGATGGAACAGGGCTTGGGAGCTGGGGCGGAGGTTGGATAGGCACCATAGAGATGAATTATGAGGAGGCATTGACAGCTTGTACGAGGGGACTAAAAGGAGACAGATTTGAGAGGTATCACTGTCTTATGATATTGAGAAACTAACCATCTAACTGAAAATATTCCACGTGATGAAACATTCTTGGGGCGGAATTGGCTAGTGAGGCAAGACCCAAAAAACAAACCTGTTGCCAATGAGTTGATTTCCAGCTCATAGCGACACTATAGGACAGAGTGGAACTGCCCCATAGAGTTTCCAAGGAGCAGCTGGTGGATTCAAAGTGCCAACCTTCTGGTTAGCAGCCGAGCTCTTAACCACTGCGCCACCAGTGAGGCAGACAAGGTCAGTTTAGAGTATGGTGGCTAAGAATGGATTCTGGAGCAAACTGCCTGGGTAAGGGTCCTACCCCAGCCATGCTCTAGCAGCATGACCTTTGAGCACGTAGTTAACTGCAGAGATGCTAACTCTGTGCCTCAGTTTCCTTCCCTGTAAAAAGGGCTAACCTCATAAGGTTGCTGGGTGGAGTAAATGAGTTAAAACAGTGCCTAGCACGTGAGGAAATGTTTGTTGAATGAACAAATCTCTAGGAAGAAAGGATAATATCTTCACTGTTGATTAGATATATACTAGCTTCTAAGTTATCCCTGCTAGTTGGGAATGAAATTTGTGTGAATATGTGTAGAGAGCTAATTCTTCCAGCCCTGCTTTAGCCTGCTGTTTAGGCAGTCTTCTGTTGACAGTGTATTGAGTTAGAAAGATTAGGTCAGTTGTCCTTCTCTTGCTTAAGTGTTTCTCTTCTTAATGGAAGAACTAAAGAAGCAAGAAAGCAGGAGGAAGAGAAGAAAGGTAGAGGTCACTGTTGGTAAAATTGGAGAATTTGCCCCTAATGATAATGCAGGCAAACCCAGAGGGCTGGTAGAAAAGGCTCACCAACGGTGGTGCTGTTCTGCTGTAGGTGGATTTCTTGCCGTGCCCACTAGGTGGCGGTGTTCCTCCTTCCCAGACCTGCGTTGGCTTATTAAGACATTGAGATGTCTTTTGTGAGTAATTTTGCCCATACTTACCTCTGCATCTAAGTCAGTAGAAGCTACATCTTAGAGAAGTTTAGAGTTTTGTTAGAAACTTAAAGTGAGGAAAATTAAAAAGAGAGACTGGCTATTAGATAATGATCCATCAGGATCATCAGAGTGGTTTGTTCTCTCTTTTCTCTTCCTGATTTGGTCCAGTAGACTCGCTCTTGGACCAAGACCAAGGGAGGAGAAGCAGGACGGGTTTCCCTATCCCTGTCTCCCTGCCCTTGTCTCGTGTACATCCGTTGACGCCTGTGAGGATGCGTAGAGGGCAGCTGAACTGGTGCATGGCTGCCCACTCCCTTGGATGTCTCACTGGGTACACCCAGAGCAGAGCAGCTCTTTATAGAAGGGCTGGAGCCTCGAGGGTTCTTCCCCTGTGTTCACATTCAGCATCCTCTGCCCCGTCCACTGTGTTTGGGGGCAGTGGATGCTGAGGGAAGGGAGGTCAGTCACTCTGCATCTCAGGAACCTGTGGGGAGGTTGCTGTAAGATCAGACCTCAGACTGCTGCCGATTCATCTGCTGTCTCTTTAAAGCCTTTTCTGAACCTGGTTTGACTTCTCTCGGATCAAGTGGAAGGTGCCACCTTGGTTAGAGTTTTTAAAACGGGTGGGTCTTGAGCGACCACTTTGCTCACCTTTTGGAGGCTCCAGTCACGTCGGCAGAGCTTGTTGTCAGGGACCTCTGTATGTGTCAGAGACTTTTCTCCCTGTCTTTTCATCCCCAGTAGAGAAATCACTGCCCTCTCCTACCTACCTGCTTCCCTACCTATCTGCCTACCTACCTACTTTAGAAGATTTGATTTGATTTATCTTTTGAATTTGTGTGGTTCAGAATTACAAAAGAGTAAAACTTCCCCTCTCGCCCCAGCCATTGGCTCTGGAGGCAGTCAGTGTTACCAAAATTGTGTCCTCCTGCAGGTGACTTTCATAAATACACAGATGGAAACTCCCCACCCCCACCCTGTTTTACACAGGTGGCAGCATACTGTACACATGTCTGCCTTTTCCTTTTTCCCATCTTGGAAATCATTACATAGTGATACACAGTATGTGATTGTGTAAAGAGTGTACTCTTTTTTTTTTTTCTTTCTAAATAACTGCAAAGTATTTCATTTTATGGCTGTAGCATAGTTTAACCAGATCCCCACGTTTCCAGTCCTTTCCTAAAAGGGCATTTGCTAGATGGTGCTAAATTGCCCTCCATAGATTGCACCAATTTACCCTTCGACCAGCAGCAACATGTGCAGGTACCAGTTTCCCTACACGCCGGGCCCTTGTCCGCCATATACCCTCAGACTTTTTCTCTGAGAGTTGAACAGAGTTACCTCATTGTGGTACATGCATGCATATGTAAACGTTTTCAGTAAAGGTTGCCTGTAGTTGTAGTTAATTCTCATTGCTGAATAGTATTCCATCACATACGTATGTGTGTGAAAAAATATGCATATATATCTTCATTCTCCTCTTGATGGGCATTTCCTGTTAGGAAAAGTGTACTGTGAACATTATTGTACATGTCTTTTTATGACCACATGTATGCCTAACAGTTGCATATATGCCTAGGAGTAGAATTGCTGGGCCATTAGGTGTGAATATATTTATCTTCAGAAGATATATGAACAGACGTTGTCTAAAATGGTTATACTTCCATCTGTGTACGGGTATGTCTTCGCATCCTAGCCATATTTCATTGCACTCATTCTGGTGGGTTTGTAGTGGTATCTTGTTTCAATTTGCATTCCCTATTGACTAATGAATTTGAGCACCTTTAAAATGTTTATTAACTATTTTGGATGGCCTCTTTTGTAAAATACCTCTTCAGGTCTTTTGCCATTTTTCCATTGGGTTGTCTGTCTTTTTTATTAATGATTTGAGGAGGAATTTATATATTTTGATTTGAGTCCTTTCATATATGTATTACAAATATCTTCACCCATTCTGAAGAAATCTTTCAAGGCTGTTCATACGATTGAAAACAACTGGCAGGGTCTGAGACTGCTTAGAGTAGCTTTGGAGGGCGTCTCAGAGAAGATGGCTCATCATGTGATAGCTGAAGGATGGAGAAGAGCCGGGCTCTTGAAGTGCTTGAAGACGACCAGTCCAGGAAGAAGGAACAGCATTGGAAAAGGCCCTGAGGCCTCTGGCATGTTTGAGTACAGAAAGAACCCAGACCGAAACGGAAGGGAAGACAAGGGTTGCAAGAAGAAGTAGAGAATCAGAATCTCTTTTCATTGCCATGTGGGAGGGGGAAGCTTTAGATTTGTGATTGTCCAGTGCTGCTTGTGGTAGTCGCTTCTGTTGATCCTGTGATCCTTCATTCCCTTCGTGCCTTGGGGAGCTGAAAATTAACAACTTTTTTTCTGTCCTTTGTCCTACAGGCGTGGTGGACACAGGCTTGTTCATCAACATGGCCGAGAGAGTCTACTTCGGTATGCAGGACGGCTCGGTGAGCATGAGGGAGAAGCCTTTCTGCTGACCCTGTAGGAGCGGACTGTGTTCACCTTGCATCCCCACCCACAGCTGAGGTGGACCTGCCTCTCCAGGAGCCTTTGCCTTAATGTATCTATGCCAGGTGGACAGCTGGCAAGGGGTGTGGCAGGGCCTAAATCCAGTCTTCTGAAGTGTTGTTATTAATGTCTTTTTAAAAAGAGAAATATAAACATATATATTTTTACTATTAAGAGCACTCATTTTTTTAAATAAAGTAGCACTTGATGTTTTATATGAAACATTTACCAAAAAAATAGAAAGGGAGGACTGCTGGTTAGGCTTCTGAATTGGGTTTGCTGAGAAATAAAAATTAAAACTTTTCTTTAAGCTGGTCAAATGAAGGACTCAACCAACAGTGTTTTCCTCATGCCTTACTGGAGACTTGGAGTTTGTTTACTGTTCTGCTGCTGTTTTGTTTAGTTTTTGTTGTGATTATGTGTAATACTCAGTTACATCTTAAGATCAGGTTTACAGAGGTCTGCAGAGTGGAGCAGTGTGGTAAGGTGAAAGGGAGCATAAGCTAGTGGGGGCAAGTGTGGCTGTACCTTGGCTGAGGTCAGGCAGGGTTCATCAGACCCATGCTGTCGGAAGCAGTTACCCAGAGTTAACTGCCAACACTGCCAGAGCACTCCTGTGAAATGTGAAGTCCTTTTTTTTTTTAAATGATTTTCTTTTCGGCGTTTATATTTTTTCTATTCTTTTATTATTGTTATTTGCATGGCTGGGCATCAGACGTCGTCACCTCTTTGTATTGTTTGAAGGTTGAAATAAAACAGTATGGTGGTGCCATTTTGACTCTTTGTCTTCATTGTAAAATTTGCTGTAGTTTTGCAGTAAAATGCCCATCAGTTCTACTCACCCACTTTGCATAGGACCTTTTATAAGGGATGGAATTCACTCAATAAATCTTGAGCCAGAATAGTTAATTTTTTTCCTTACCTCTGGGAGGCTCGATTTCCCAAGGCAGTATTTATTCCATGGACCTGTGTCAAGTTATCAGTTTTATAATGGAGAATTACAGAGCTGAACAAAGGTCACAAATTATCCCCAAGTTTTATATTAGTCAAACCATCTTTAGTCGTGGAAACTGATAAGCAGTAAAATGGGTAACCTGAATGTTCACCTCTCTGTACACCTACAGACAATTTGCCTAATAAGCAGTGGCCCAAAAAAACCAAACCTGCTGCTGTCAAGTCAATTCCAACTCACGACCCTATAGGACACAGTAGAGCTACCACGTAGAGTTTCCAAGGAGTGGCCGGTGGATTTGAACTGCCAACCTTTTGGTTAGCAGCCAAGCTCTTAACTACTGTGCCACCAGGGCTCCAGTAAGCAGTGAAGTGCCCAGAAAACAGCCCCATAGACAGGGAAAGGAAAGGCCATGGTCAGCTCAATAATAACTCCAGTCAGGACTCGAAGGACTCTGTTCTGTTGTTAAAGATGTTTATTGTGGGAGGCACCATCTCCCTGTGCTAACTTGGCACATTACTCGAATGATCATTTTTCTCTAGCCCTCAGTTCTGAAGCTTGAATTACCGCTACCAGGCTTTTTGGCATCTAAAGTCCTGCTAAATCATGTTGCAGGACGGAGCATTAAAGAGGCTTTGTGCACAAAATGGGCACTACATGTTAGCTAACAACACTTGCTAGAATCTTAAAAGTGTCCTCAAAGCTCTTGTGGCATAGGTTTTTAATGCTATAGTTACTTGAAGTGGATTTAATTTTATGTGTATTCAATTTAAGGATAAAGGTAAACAATAAACTGGGTTCCTGAAAAACACCTGCATGTTCTACATGTAAATTTTCAGTGGGTTTCACAGGTGTTCACACTGACCGAACTGCAGTTCCTTTGAGTGTTAATGTGAGGTTTTTCTTGTCATAACTTGTAGAAAACAAAACATTTCCTGTTCAGGCGCACACACAGCAGTTTGCTCTGGAGGTGGATTATGATTAGATTCTTCAGTAAAATTGTTATTAAATGTGGTCTTGCTGGAAATAAGTTGAATGGAAAAACAATTTACAGGTACATGTGATGTGTCTGAGGGACATAAGCAAGCTGTAAGTTTGGTGGTTGGGAAAGGGTTATGTCATGGATTGTGTCCCCAAAAAGTACGTGTATTAGTTTGGCTGGGCCATGATTCCCAGTGTTGTGTGAGTGTCCATCGTTTTTCCTATGTGTTGTAAATCCTGTCACTGTGATGTTAATGAGATGGATTAGTGGCGGTTATATTGATGAGATCTACAAGATTAGATTTTGTCTTAAGCCAGTCTCTTTTGAGATATAAAAGAAGCGAGCAGAGAGAGGGGACCTCGTACCACCAAGAAAGCAGTGTTGGGAGCAGAGCGCATCCTTTGGACCTGGGGTACCTGCACAGAGAAGCTCCTAGACCAAGGGAAGATTGATGACAAGGACCTTCCTCCAGAGCTGACAGAAGTCCTTCCCCTGGAAGCTGGCACCCTTGTAGTCTACTAGACTATGAGAGAATAAATTTCTCTTCGTTAAAGCCATCCACTTATACTTCTGTTAACAGCAGCACTAGATGACTAAGACAGGTTATAACCCACATAAACAGTTGCATTTCTGGGAGGCATCAGAGGAGAGAATCACTTGGATTTGGATAAAATCGGTTCCATTTTGGTTTCAGCTAGATCTTCTCAAAGTTCTGATCCTCTTCATCAAACTTTCTGATCTCACGTGCCAGTCCCTGTCTCCAGGTGCTTCCAGCCTGATGAACGGGACAGGCACATTGACAAATGCCATCATGGAGGAGCAAGGTGCACGAATGTTGCAAGATTGTGAATGAGTATGGGGGGAAAGGGGAGTGATGAGGTGGGAACAGTGGTTATCAGATGACTGGTGACAGCTACCTACAAATGATCTTGCTGGCTTTGACTATCAAAGCACTTTTTTTTAAATTGTGCTTTAAGTGAAAGTTTACAATTCAAGTAAGTTTCTCATACAAAAATTTATACATACATTGTTATGTGACCCTAGTTGGCTCTCCTTATACTGTGACAGCACACTCCTTTCCACCCCAGATTTCCCGTGTCCATTCAGCCATCTGACCCTTTCTGCCTTCTCATCTTGCCTCTGGACAGGAGCTGCCCATTTAGTCTCATGTATCTACTTGAGCTAAGAAGCACACTCCTCACAAATATCACTTTATGTCCCATAATCCAGTCTAATCTTTCTCTGAAGAGTTGGCCTTGGGAATGGTTTCAGCTCTTGGCCAACAGAGAGTGCGGGGGCCATGTCTTCTGTCCTTCCAGTCTCAGTCAAACCATTAAGCCTGATCTTTTTATTAGAATTTGAGTTCCGCACCCCACTTTTCTCTTACTCTGTCAGGGACTCTGTTGTATTCCCTGTCAGGGTGGTCATTAGTGGTAGCTGGGCACCATCTAGTTCTTGTCTCAGGCTATCAAAGCACTTTTAATGTACCTGTTTATGGTGGGGAAACAGCCTGAATAGGACAAGTTACTAGGCCACAGTCCCGAAGCTGGTTTAGTGCCCAAGCCAGCCTGGAACCCCTGGTTTTGCAGTCTCTGGGAGGATACTCTTAGGTTGGCCATAAGAAGAGCCAGCGATGCTACGTTGTGACTTTTGATGGGAAAATAACTGGAGACGGGCGAATCTTTTCAAGAGGGTAATTTGAGGAGGGGAGCTTTGCTTTAAAGTGCTGTTTTTATTGTTTCAGTAGTTCCAACCTTCTTCCTGAAGGCGGTGAGGAAGAGAAAGGAGGGTACTATCACTTCTTGAACGCTTAGTGCATGTCGGGCATTGTTCTAGGCCTTTCCTCTGTTATTTTACAACTTTATGGTATTAGTTTTCTTACTCAGTGTGAGAAACAGGCTCCGTTTGACTAACTTGCTCAGGTCACACACTGGAAAGCAGGCCAGACTTTGCTGGTTTCAGACTTTGCTCCTACTTCAAGCTGGTTATAGGGCTCTGAATAGTTTGTGTTCCTTAATTGTTGCATTCATTAGTTGTAACTTTAGCCACAAGTAATTATTAAATTTGTTACGGAAGTTTGTGAGTGGTTTAGTTTATGTGTATAGGTTCATGGTTAGTTTCTGCATTCCTGTGAGCCTGCTTTAGTGGGAGAAAGGAGTAGAACATGGCACATAACCTAGGGTAGGTCCTGGGAAAATTGACCTTGTACCAATGATGTGTGTAGAAATCATCCTCATCTGTCACTCTGTAATGAAACTTGACAAGTGTTGACTTTTCTCCTCCCTCTCTCCTGTGCTTGTTTCTCTTCTCCCTGTGATAAGGCACAGTGGTATTGCTAGCCTGGGAAGGGCCGTTGATGGCTAAGGGTTGTTAATTCTTAGCCAAAGACCATGAGGGAAATCTTACATGGGAAGCCACGGGGTGTTTCCATCAGAGGGTGTTAGGATTTAGAGGATTTGGACTTATTTGGTGCTTTAAGGAACGCTCAAGGAAGCAAGGCATTGCTGTGGATTGGATACTGTCAGGAAGCAGGGTAATTCTATGACTTGGTATCTTAATCATTCTCACCTAGAGGGGAAGAAGAATGGAGTGAGCCTACAGCTCCCTTGGTAAAGAGCAGTAGTCAATAGTCAGGCTTGGACAATGTTCCTGTTTACCTGTGATCAGATTTGATTATGAGTGGTCTTATTTTTGCCTTGATCCATCATGGTCACAGAGTGGTCTTGTCTGATGTGGATGTTCTGTGAAATTATTTATGTTCAACAGGAGAACTTCGCGGCCTAATTGATAGAGCTAGGCCAGCTCCCAGCTATCAGGGACTGGTTTTCCTTCTCAGGATATGGTTGACCCCAGGATCAAGAGGACTTGAGCATTTTATAGTCAACTCTTCCCCTCCCTTCAATCAGCAGATACTGAGCACTTGCTGTGACTGGAGAAATGGAATCAGGTCACATATCTGTGGCTCTTCGATGTGGTTCCAGCCCTCACAGACTTCATTGGTATGTACCATGACAATTGCCTCTTGTGACTTTCTTCTCAAAATCTTGATTTGCTCACTTCTATCACACCTAGCAGCTGATGCAGCCTAATTTAGGATTACATCAGCCTTCACTCTCCACTAACCCGGTAATCAAATGATGTTTTTGACATAGGTTCAGTGCCTTTACTTTTTTAGTAACTGGGGTATGTTGCAGGGCAGCAAAACACTCTGATATAGCCTAGAATTCAAACATGCCCAAGTTGGCCTCAGCAAATAAACATCTGTAATGGTGCTTTGAGAGGGATGAAAGTATGGCATTTAACGTGGGCAGCGGGGTGGAGACAGAGTCCAGAGAGGGAAGGAAAAGTCTTCCCTGGAAAGGAAACCCTAGTCCTCCGTGGACAATGAGTGCATTATGCAGACTGATGAATAAAATAAAGTCACTGTTGAAACTCCACTGTGTTATGTAGGATCAGCTGTGAGGTGGGAGAGAATGAAGCTCAATCTCAGGAAACTGAAGCCCTGGCTGGCTGCAGCTCTGTTAGCCTCAAGCCAGTGGAGGTAATTAAGTATTCTGAATGGCTCTCTGATGACAAAGACAGAACCCTATGGGGCAGTTCTACTCTGTCCTATAGGACGGCGGTGAATCGACTCAATGGCTGCGGGTTTGGTTTTGGTATCTACATTGAATAGGACTGACCTATATAACCAATACAATATTGAGGAA